TACTATGCTGAAGAATTTCCCCTCTAATCCTATTTTGTTGCGTGTTTTAATCAGAAAAGGCTGTTGGATTTTGTCAAAGGTTTTTTCTGTATCAATTGATAGGATCGTGTGGTTCTTGTTTGTTCTTTGCTTTGTTAATGTGATGAATTACACTATTTTCTTATGTTGAATCATCCTTGCATACCTATTACAAAACCCACCTGGTCATGGTGAATTATTTCTTTGATGTCTCACTGGATTCTATTGGCCAGGATTTTATTCAGGATTTTTGTATCTATGTTCATAAGAGATACTGACCTATAGTTTCTATTTTGGTGGTGTCCTTTCCTGGCTTTGGTATCAAGGATATGTTTGCTTCACAGAATGAGTTTGAGAGAATTCTATCTTTTTCTATTTTCTGAAATAGTTTATGTAGACTTAATGGCAGTTCTTCTCTGAATGTTTCATAAAATTTACTTGTAAAAGGACCTGGTCCAGTGCTTTTTTTTTTTTTTGGCTGGAAGCTATTTTATTACCTTTTCAATTTTTCTCTTTTCTAATGGGTCTGTTTAGGTGTTCAATTTAGGTTGGTGTTAGTTTAGGTAGGTTGTGCATTTATAAGTATTTGTCCATTTCCTCTGGTTTTTCATATTTGAGTATCATTTTCACAATATGCCTCAGAGCAGTTTTAAGTCAACTTCTTCCATCATCCAGCAAGAACAGCAAAAACCTTTAACTGTGACCTTTATCTCAGGGTTCATCTTTATTTCAGGGTACACTTTACCACAGCTTATCCACAGCAATGCCACAGTCTCTCTACCACCATCACCAGGGTCTCACTCTCACCAGGATCTTGCTCGCATCTACCTCAAGTCTCACAGCCACAAGTCATGCTTGCCTCAAGTCTTGCTTCCTCAATGTGAGAAACAGTTTTTTCTCTTAGCCAAGTTCCACAGCTGTTGATGTTTTGTAAACCATGAGTCTGCAGTTAAGGTAGCTGGAGACCAGAAGGGGCTAAATGTAATAACTTACAAAATCCAAGTCTTAAACTAACACCACAAAATTTCTTTTCAGATCCTTCCTTCATTTTTAAAACCAATTATTTTCACATTGTTGAATTTTAAGCAAGGCTTTGAAACAGTTCAAGCTAGTTCAGTCAGATTCAATGCCACAAAACTGGAACAGACTCAAATTTTTAAAATTTTACTTCCCCTCCTACTTTATTTTTACTTTGTAGTTGTTTGCATACAAATTTCTTATACATTGTGTATTGTTCATGTACACTGAATTCCATACATTCACACTGTATCTCAAATGATCACTCACATACTTTGGGCTTCATAAAAGTAATCATCATTGATCTATGCCTACTATTACATCAACTATTCAGGTCCTCCTTGGATCTTACATAAACCTGTCACTCCTCCTCCCTCAAGTTTTTAAAATTTTAACAAAGTAAAATAGGAAAAACTAAAAGTCAGAGCACTAGAACGAGAGACTAGAGGATTTTTAGTGAGCCCTTTCAGAAGTGTGAGCTAAGAGACTGGACTGTAGAGATCAAGATATGCGCCACTAATTTAAGAGCAGCACGTCTGTTTCTCACTTAGTTGGTTAAGAGTTTAGTGTACATACAAGAAAATATACACACACACACACACATATATATACATATATACACACACATATATGTATGTGTGTGTGTGTGTGTGTGTGTGTGTGTGTGTGTGTGTATATAAAATTCAAATAACACTGAAATCAGGAAGTCTTCCAAATCTACCATACATTTAAATTAACAACACATCCCAATTTGGATGAATACTTTAAGCACTCAAAAGTCACATGTGGCTAGTAGCTTCCATACTGGATAGCTTATTCTTAAGTACCGAGTTTTTGCCAGGAAATTATGTTGCAAGTATATTCTTTAAGTTATGGACTTATCTTTTCACTGTTCAAGATGATGCAAGATTAGGCAATGATTCATTTTTTGTGTGCTAGCTATGAGTTGGAACTGACTCAGCAGCACCTACCAAGACACTTCTTTTTCCCCTTCATATATTCTCTACTGGTCAACTCAATAAAGTACTTGCTTTTGCCAAAGACAGTTAGCAAAGTTAATGGGCAAAATCTTGAACTACCTAAGTTGTTGTTCTTTCTTTAGCTATGGTTTCACACAGCCTTTAACATATGAAGGTAGATATAGCAAGTAGGTACCTTGGGCACCTAAAGAACTTGATTTTAAAAAGTAAAATGGCAGGCTGAATCATCTCTAATATTTATTTATGTCTTAGTTCACACACTTACCCTCACAATCATAGAGTTGACTGCAAGTACACCAAATATCCAGCTCTGCTATTCATTATGATAGTGTAACTAGTCTCATGCCCATCCAAATACATTCACTACAGTTGCTGTCAAAGTGAGCTCAAATATGGAAACACCATGATACTCCAGCTTCAAGAATTCCCCAAAATCAACAGAAATTAAATTCTAAAGAAAAATTTTAAAGAGGAAAATATGCTTATGCTTAATCTCTCCAGAGCCTTATCCAAAAACCTTAGAGTCTAATTTCAGATAATTTGCCCAATATATCCAAGCTTGTATTATTTACATCTCTTTTTGCCTAATACCCTACATTCATACTTCAACCTATGTTAAAACAATTACTTACCTTTAAAGACTAAAGCTTATTAAAATAGATGAGATTAAAGGCAATTTATCGTTGAACAGAAACTCCCAGTGCTCATTGCCAGGAAAAAATAAATGTGTTACACTAAGACAACACACTGCCTCACCATAATAGATATTAATAAATATCATGAATATTAAATATCAAGTATACTGTAGGAGTTTATAAACCAGCGTAGAACAATAATTTGCAATTTTACAGAAACATACAGCCTAGGTTTCAAAACGATGTACATATCCATTTTGAACACAATTTAATCAGGTTTTGTTAAAATATACATTAGATATACACTACAACAAAAGTAGTATTCAGATCAGTAAGGAAACTATGAGTTAGTCAATGGGACAAATGGTAGCTAGCATTTTAGCATGTAAGAGAAAATAAAGTTGGGTCCATACCTCACAATGTTTTACCTGAATACATTCCAAATGTATCAAAGATTAAACTGTAAAAAAAAAAGAAACCATAAAAATACCAGAGGAAAATGTAAGAGCAATCCTTTACAACTTTAAAAAAGATCTTTCCAAATATGACTCAAAAACCATGAAAGACAAGACTAATAAATTCAACTAATAAGATAAAAATCTTCCACTTCAAGTGCCAAAAACTAACAACTAAGGAAAAAAGCCAACTCGCACCACAAAGTCTAACATAGGTGGGATTCCTATGAAGGCTCTAACAAATTAAGAAAAAGATAAAAAAACCAAACACAAAAGCACATGGACAGACAGCTCACAGGAAAAAATACAAGTAAATCTCTTAAAACTATGGAAAGATGCTCAACCTCACTTAAAATAAGAGAAATGCAAAATAACTATGCAAATGTGCCTAATTTTCACTTACTGGGTTACAAAAGCAATGGTGAAGTATGTTTCTGGTTCACAGGACCTCAGAACAAAAATTGACTTAATCACTGCAGAGAATAATTTGGAGATCTCAATGAAAATTACAACTATCAAAATCTCTTTAACCCAAAAGTTTTACTTCTCAGAATAACTCTCAGATACACTTGCATATAACTAAAATTATATATAAACACAAAATTATTTACTGTACCTATTGAAATGTTAGTTATTAAAGGAAAATACAATGACACTAAAAGATCATCAACACTTGGCTAACGTGGCAAACAAAAAAAAAAGAAAGTTCTAAGCTCACAGAAGAAATATAAATTGTTCTGTCAAAATCATTAAGATGAAGAAATTATGTATACATTTGTTTAAAAATGGGAAAGAAAAATATTTGTCTACAGATACATATTTTTAAATGCAAAAGAAATCTAGGAAGCTAGTAAGAGAGCTGTGGTCTAGTAGTAAGAAGATGCGCTGCAATCAAAAAAACAAATAGAAGAAGGATGGGCAATCTCTTCCTGTGCAATTTACTGCTTCCGAAAACCCCCAGTGTCAGCTATATGTTGGTTGTGATTCAAAGGCACACAACAATAACATGTTAAAAAATAGTAATACAAATTATCATGATGTCAAGAAAGTTTCCAAGAACTTAGGCTGATGTGAAACAGGAGGGAGAGTTTTTATTTATTTTTTATTTCGTACACTGGATATCACAGTATAAAGACTAAATTTTAAAATATATCAATAGCTAACCAAAGACACACACCCTCTATGTTCCCTTCTACTTACTTACACAATTACTTATTCTATGTCAAAAATACTTTAAATCTGGCTGTTCAAAAAGGAAGAGTATATTAATGTATAAAGTATATTCATTTACTCTTTTCTGTTTCAATTACTTTTCTATCACAGTTAAAAAAAATTCATGTCTGTTAAAAATGTTGGAGTTGTAAAAAAAAAAAGTAACATTATTTGACAACATAAAGTAAAAGTGGACATGAAAATGAGAAACACATAGTTAAGAGAAAGAATTTAGCATTTCTTTCAAAGCACAAAAGATCTTTAGGTTGTTAAAACCAATATGCACTACGGATAGGACCGACTCAAAAGAGATACGAATAGGAGAAACAGAGTCTAAAACAATGATTTTACGTCTAACAAAGAAAAATAAAAAGTGGCTTATTTTTCTTTTTAAAAAATATCATAAAACACAAAAATTGTATCCACTTTAAAAAAACCACATATACCACACATTATTTAATTAGATATAAATAAATTCTACTGAAAATAGCTAATGTTAACATTTGTTCAAAGCAAAAAAAAGTTCATTAATAAAAGGATTTCATAAATTATACCTGTTACTGTTAAAAAAGTTCATTATATAAAATACCATGTATTTTGAAATGCTCACTACCCTATCCATTTTCAACTTTTATAAAAAATAAAAAAAAAAAAAATGTTTTTCCAAAAGCCACTGCACTTACCCCCATTATCTGTTCTTTTTAAAGCTCCATCCTTATGGGGACATAGTTCACATCTCTATTAAAAAAGAAAAAGAAAATGAAGAGATTTTTTTCAAAGTACCACAAATACTACATCATCTTTTCTTGTAAGTTCAAAAATAGTAAAACCATAGAATAACTATCTGTATTCTGACAAAAATATTTTTTCAGAACATTCCTCACAAAGTCATTCTTATCCTTAGCATGTGCTCTTTTCTAGAGTTCCAGGTTAACTTTAAAAGGGTTCATTATTGGGATGTAAAATGTCTCAACGACTATTGAAAGTAGTTTGGTGTTTCCTTAGGATGTTGAGAGAAAAAAAAACCATTGAGTCCAGCAACCTCACTACTAGAGAAATATACCAAAGTAATAAAAATGAAACAAAACTAGCATACTTAATCTCGTTTACTTTAGCACTGTTTATAAAAAAACAAGGAGTGACAACAACCCCAAGTGTCCACCAGTGGAAAAATTACTAAAGAAACTGTAAAAAATTGACACAAAGAAGTACTATACAACATTCAGAAATATATCAAGAATTCCTGAAATAATGTACAGCAATGGAGATTATTATAAACTCTGCTGTGTAACATAAACCAGAAACAAAAAGACTGTTAAAAAGTCTTTTAAACAGAAATCAATATTGCAAGGATAACAGAGATGGGAAGAGAGGACAAGGGGAGTGAAAATTAATAGTTACATTAAGTAAAGGAAAAGAAAATACATAATAAAGGGTTGATTGTTGTTGTTGTTGTTATGTGCTGTGGAGTCGCCTGTGACTGACTCTTAGGCTACCCTTTGTACAACAGTACTAAACTCTATCCTGTGACAATTTTACTGTCTCTACACCTACCCCCGTTATCCCAGTCAACTGAGTAAAAAGGTGAATCTTGAGCTGGATTTCCCCTGGTCTTTTAAAAGTTGACTGAATAAAACACTGGGGGTGGGGGGGGAGGCACCAAAGTCAGAAGAAAGCACTCATTGAAGGTCTTCCTCTCTTGTACTGTCCCTCCAAAGTTTCAAGCATGATTTCCCTCCCAAAGGACTGGTCCCCTCCTTACAACATGCCCAAAGTATGTCAGAAGAACCTTCAGAATCCTTGCCTCCAAGGAGCAGCCTGGTCTCACCCTTTCTAGGATGAACCAGTTTGTTCTCCTAGGAGTACATTATAAAATCAATACTCTTCTCCAGCACCACAGCTCAAAGGCATCAATTCTCCTTCTAACATCCCTGGTCATTGTCCAGCTTTCTGACGTACAGAAAGTAATTGCAAAGACTATGTCCTTTATCAGATGCACCTTAGTGTCCAGACAGACATCATTGCTTTTCAGTACTCTACAGTGGTCCCTGGCAGCAGACTTTCCCAACACAATTTATCATTAATTTCCTGGCTGCTGGTACCAAGAGTGTTAATTGTGGAGCCAAGCAAACTAAAACTGTTAACAATCTCAACCTTTCCACCATCTATGATGATGCTGGCAATCAACCCAGTGATGAGAATTTTTGTTTTCTTGATGTTGAGCTGCAATCCACAGCTATTCTAAATCTGAGCATTCAAATTAAGGCAGACTAGAAAAAAGAACTGACCATCCACTTCGAAAATGGCAGGCCTTCAAAACCCCTATGTACAATAGAACACACTTCTTGTTGTTGTTGTTAACTGCCATCGAGTCATAGACAACCCACAGAGACCTGATGAATGAAAGACCTGAATTCTTATATAACTTTCATCATTTCTCCAAGCTCATAGAGCTTCTGGAGGCAAGCTATTTCAGAAGTGGGTGACACTCATGCTTCCAAGCTTGTTTTAATCAGGGAGCTCCACCAAACATTGTCCACTATAGGTAACCATTATCGCATTTGACACATCAGTGTCACAGTGTTTAGCATAAGCAACCACAAGTTACCTCTATACAGTGAATGGACAAACCAGTGCTACACTACTTAGAAGAATGTTTGACCAAAAGCAATTAAGCCAGGCCTGAGAGCCAAAGATTAAAATCGCCTACCTTTAGCAAAGTACCATAAGTTTCTATCCACTAGGTTAACAGAGCTCTAAGTTGTTGTTGCTGTTAAGTGCAATCGAGTCGTAGACAACGCATTAACAACCCTATGAACAAAAGACCTGAACACTTGTATAACTTTCATCATTTCTCCAAGTTCATAGAGTTTCTGGAATTAAGCTGTATTGGAGTGGGTATCACTCCTGCTTTCAAGCTTGTGAAACTAGCAGATACGGCAACTGAGGCTGAGCCTTCAAGTATGGAAAGGGTTGATGAAACATAATTAATGCACCAACGCCCAGACTCTAGGGGGATTCTGTCTGGCCCCTGGGGAGTGTCGCCTGGTGTGCATGCGGAACTTTAAGCCACTTTCCTCCATCTCCTCACCCAGTACACCTGTGAATAACACCTCCAAAGCCCTTCATTTGTAACTCACAAGTTTGATCTCTCTAGGTTTGCTCCCTTTCCTTATAGGTGCCATGAACACTGAGTCTTGTTCCAGAACCTGAACCCTGAGCCCAATTCCAGAGAAAAAAAGGGAAATATAACTGCCAGCTAAGGAAGTGAAGGTGGATGGAGCCTCAACTAGCCAATCCCACTGGAGTCATTGACATAAATACCTTGCAATCCAGAGGGCAGAAAACGTCAGGAAAATATCTTCTAACTGCACAAGAAGGAATGCAGCTTCAACTCAAGACCACCAGTAAAATGTTAAAGTGGGCTCCCCTTCCCCTTCATCTCAAAGCCCCTGTTCAGCATGAAGCAGCCAGAGACTGCACCCCTTATTCATAAATGGAAAACTCACAAATGAAAAAGATAATCTCTTTGTTAAAAATAATAATAATAAGAGTTCGATCGGTAGCGGGAGCGGAGAGCGGACCCCTGAGAGCCCTGAGCAGCCCCACTGCCGCCGCAGGCCTAGTTACCATCACA